CCCCCCCGGGGGGTGCCCACCGAGATGGGTGACCGGGCATCGGGTGCTCTGCAGCGGTCCCGCAGCCGGGTGTCACGGCTGCTGCACTTGGGGAAGGTAGGCAGCACCCATGGGTGCACCCAGCAGGCGGGGGGGTGGTGTTGTGGGGTCACCCCCTCCTTCCAAGCTCCTTCCCAAATTTCCCCTGAGGGTTTATGCCACAGAGGTGGCACTGGGCACCAGTGGGAACCAAGATGCCTGTACCAAAGTGGCAAAGGGCACTCAACCACCCCCCAGGGGGAGGAAAACCCCCAGGGATGCACCCATGGGAGCGAGGGAGTGCTAGGGGGTCTCTGTGCCAGGTGTCCCCCACTGTCACCCCCATGTCCCTTGTCCCCAAGATGAGGGTGGCCTCTCGCACTGGGTTTCCAGCCCTGCTCCCTGCGGTGGGGAGGTGGTGGGGTGACAGGGGGGAGGGTGATAGAGTGTCTCTGGGGACACTCAGTCCAGTGCCCCCCTCTGCTCCAGGGTGACCTCAGGGACACTCCACCCACTGTTCCCCCCACTCCAGGCTGACGGGCAGGGCTGGGGTTGGGAAACTTTGTCCCCGCGGCCATTGGAGGGAGGCTCAGGGGCTGTAAAACTGGGGAGATCAAAGGGTGCCAGAAGGAGATTCCCCGCCCACATCCACCCACCTGCGGCCGCCGGGTGCCAGGGGACATGTCCCCCCACCCTGAGCAGCTCTCCCCGGAGCAGGAGCAGCCAGGCAGCCGCCCCAGGGGTGCTCAGGGCCTCATTTGGGGATGTGGTGATGGGGCTGTCGGTCTCACCACCTGGCTCCACTCACTGGCGGGGTCTGGGTGCTGGGGTGGGTGTCAGGGGCTGTGGGTGCTGGTGGTGATATGGGTGCGGGTGTCAGTGATGTGAGTGCTGGCAGTGAGGGTGCAGATGATCTGGGTGCTGCTTGGTGAGGGCAGAGCCTGGGGGTGCAGTTGATGTGGGTGTCGGAGACGTCCCAGGGTGCCGGTGTTGAGGGTGCTGATGTGTGGATGCAGGTGGTGTGGGGCAAGTGCCAGGGTGCTGATGCCAGTGAGGTGGGTGCAGAGGCTGGGGGTGCAGGGGAGGGGCGTGTCGGCGGTGTTGGGGCTGCAGATGTTGGGGCGTGTCCATGGTTTTGGTGCCGATGATGTAGGTGCTGACAGTGTGGGTGCAAGTGCCGATGCTGATGCCCTGGGTGCAGATCCTGGGGGTGCAGGTGACGTGGGTGACGTGGGTACTGGTGGGTGCTGACACTGGGGACCACAATGTTCCGACCCCAAACCCTCTCCACATGCGCAGGCTGCACGCTCCTCCCCACTGCTGGCTGGGTGCTCCCTGCCCCAGTGTGGGTGCTGTGGGTGCCCTCCTCCACTGCCCACCCATTGCTCGCAGCTCCTGCCCCATGGGATCCCCGAGCAGCCGGGGCAGGGCAGGATCGCGCTCCTTGGCCCCTCACCCACAGCAGGGACGTCCCAGGAACACCGTCCCCAGCAGCTCTGCCCCACAGCTCGCCCCACAGCTCGCCACACCCGTCTCCAACCGCGGCACCGGAGTCACCCACCCGTATCCCCTCCAGGCGCGCAAGGACCCGGAGGAGCTGCCCACCCCCACCTACCTCAACATCCAGGAGCTGCGGGAAGAAGTCGCAGCCGCTGACTCGGCCCCAGAGGAGCCCGGCAGCTCTGTGTTGGACTGGGAAACCCACACGGATACGGACAGTGGACATTTGTTTTATTATAACCCGGTGACGGGCGAGACCACGTGGGACTGTCCCTTTGGGCAGGCAGAAGATGGAGTGAGTCCCGTCGCCTCTCCCGCCTCCTCGCTCGCCCACAGCCCGGAGTTTCCCGAGTGGGAACAGTACATGGATGAAGCCAGCGGACAGGCTTTTTTCTATAATTCGGTAACAGGTGAGACGTCGTGGGACCCCCCCAACACGGGACACAGAGGCAGCTCCGGGGATATGTACCCTGGGGTGACACGGTACAGTCCCATGGAGCAGAGGGTGAGCACCCAGAGGGGCACGGGCATGATGTGGAGGGGATGGAGATGGGGATGGAGATGAGATGGAGATGGAGATGCAGATGGAGATGATGGAGATGGAGATGAGGATGGAGATGGGAATGGAGATGGGAATGGAGATGAGGATGGGGACAGAGACCAAGATAAAGATGAAAATGGTGACAGAGATGGAGATGGAGACAAGGATGGGAAGG